ACGAGGGCGGCGACGTTTCGCGCGTGAAATTGTCAGGCCCGTTGTTCGAGTAGACACGGATTGTAAAACGTGTCTTTATAGATGATCGCGGTAATCAAATTCCGTTTCATACGGCAAATAATTGTCAGAGGCACGCTCTTTTTCATGCGCGTATATATCAAACGTGACTTTTATTTAAAAGTTGAAATTTCGGGTAGAATAATTCCACCGTATTAAGCATTCGAAATGGTAGACAACGTATATTAGGTTAACAGAAGTTTGCCAAAAGTAGAAGTACCTAATTTCCAACGATTTCACGGTAACAGTCAAGGGGAGATTACAATGAACACGTAACATCGTTTAGCGCGCTAATTATGCAAAGTTTCGATGTTTTCATCAGGATGCATTCAAGGATCGTTTCGAAAAGAGCAAAAAGCGACTCAAGTAACAAGGTCTCCACAATTATCCAGCGTCGATTGCTCGTACTATCTCCGTCAATTTCAACGACCGTTTCACGATCAACTTGCCCTCGCGTGTGGGTTTCTATGTGACGTAGCTATCGCGTTCCCGTAGTCAGCACCGAAAAAGCACGTCGAATCGAGCCAGAAGAGAAACGATCGTCCGGCAGAGAGTGGCGAAGCGGGAAAGAGAGAGAGATCTTTGCCTTGCCCGGGGCACAAATCAAGGCCCTTCTTTGCTCTCGAAGGCCCCATACATGACTCAACCTTATTATTATTGTTAGTTTTACACCCGACACAGAGAACCGCGCTCGTACGAACGCGTCTCGCCGGTGTGCGTGTCGCGTAGAGAATGCATATCGCGCGTGTGCGCGTTGGTGCGTACGAGCCGCGACTAGGAAGTGCAAATCACCAGCTAACACAGTATTCGCGGCTAACTCAACATTCCCGCCTCGTCAGGGACGTTTAAGAGGTTATTTTCAACACCTCGCCCCGCGAACCAAACACGTGTGCGTCGACGTTTGCCCACGCACAAGGATCTCCGTGAAATTCGATTTCGAGCATCGATCGCCGATCGATTCTCGTTGATTTTGGCTCGTTCCGAGGGATACGACGTCCTCGCGACTGTGAAACAGAACTTTTCGCGCTAAATCCTCGACAGAGGTTTTCGAATCGGTGTTTCGAGTGTACAGGACTTTACATCCCCGTTTCTGAGATGAGCTTTGCTTTAGAAAATGGACAGATACAGTTGCTGGCGCGTTATGAAGGTTCTTCGGTTTGCGTCATGATTTACATCAAATATTGAAACACAAGTAGATCACTGTAGACGTAAATCATTGTTTACCGACGTTTATTTTCGCGAAACCTTGACTACATTACCTATAATGTTTTAGTCGGGCACAAAGATATATAAAATAGTAGGAGTTTAAACTTCGCTTCTTAACACTTAAAAAGAGTTGGTCTGATAGATGAGCTTCGAGGTTGAATCTTCTATATATCTGAAATCATTGTTAAATCATTTTTATCTTCTCCTCTCGTCTAATGAAATATAAAACTCTTATCACTGCCATAGCTTTTAACGTTCCAAAGATAATTGATTCAAGTGGCTTTTAGGACATTTCTCGTTGGGCTAAATTTGTCGATTCGGAGTCAGGATAGGTAGAGCGAACTTGATCATGGATGAGTCGAAGAAATTGCAACAGAGTTTATAGAAAGATGGTTTCGCGTAGCCGACTTTAGATAATGATCGATGTTTCGTTTAACAATGAAGTTTACTGTTGGTTCATAGTACGCGTTAATCTCCCATTCTTTGCTCATTATCGTTTAAATTCGAGGACACAGCGCGATCTGGAATTTTCCCCGAGGTCTCTCGGTTTCGTTTCATTTTGCTTCTTCGGCCTTGCTTTGTTTATGGACTGCAAATCGTTTTGCAGCGCTGTTAAAACACCGAGGTACCGACGTTGTTGTTTTTAGGTAAATATTTTGGATGCGACACGTCGTCGACTGCTTGCGAAATCGAGCGAAATCGAACGCCTCGAACAAAATAATATAATCGACGGATCGAGGTGAATTCTTACCTTATAATCGTGGCAAACGCATCGATCGAAAGTAAACAATCGTGATCGCTTCGTTCGGTGTAAAATAACCGCGTCGAAAAAGAACAGGAAGATACGGACGCGTTGATTGTTCAAATAAAATTATATAGCATCGACGATTTCTTCGCGATAAATCAGTGGCAAAAGATTCGAAAGATTTGTACGAATAAAATGATACAGCAACGCGTAAAATCAGTAGGGAGCGCGGTAAATTCGAACGCGTCGATCGATACATTTGTGAGCAATTTGATGGCATCGAAATAAAATGAGGAAGAAACACGACAATTCGTCGCCGTAACGTTTTATCGTGGTCGAAATCGAAGCTGCTGAGAAACAACGGATTCTAATCAACCTCCTCGATCGCAGAAAAAAAAAGAATCCATCTGAATTTATCTAGTAGATTGCCGTTATCGTTCTTCGGCTTCTTGGATCGTAGCGACGTTAGGTAGCGTTAGAATCCGATACCTGCACGATATCGATGCGTGTCTGTTCGTCTTTCTTCGAGTCTTCTATCACGTTCGCGCATTCATAAAACTCTCTCGGACCTCGTGTGTGGACCGGCCTCGAGAGTTTCTACGATCGTCATTACGCCTCCAAGGCGGTCGTCTAGTCGGCCCTGGACCGTCGTACACCTCTATACTCTATCGTCTAGCGCTAAAGAGCGAGACAGATCGATAAAGACGAGAGATAAACTATTCGCTCTCTAGCCTAGCACGGCTTGCACACACATGCACACACCGAGAGTCCGTGATACTGTGTAGCCAAGTACATCCAATTATCGCTCGTAGACAATGAGTCCCAAGGTTTCGCGTCCACGAATCTCGATGACCGTCGTCCGTGCATTTTTCAAGCTCGTATCTAGTCGACAGAGAACAACGTTCGAAGGGACCTTGTCAACAAAATTTTCACGCGCTTGTTTCCGGTTACTAGCTTCGCTGGTAGCGCCACCAAATTTTTCGAAGCTTGAAAATATAAGAATTTAGAGACTTGGAAGAATTAGCTTAGGCCTTTGAAGTTCGTTACTTTGCGAAAAGTAATCGTTCTGTAATCGAGAAAACCACGATCAGATATTGTATCTTGAAAATTTCGATAATTTCCTGTAAGTTGGTCGCGAAGCAGCGGATCGGTTATACAATAGTTTAAAAGCCACTTGCACGGATACAGTGTCCAGTTTCTCATGCGATACTACGTATCCTCGGATTATTAGCCCATACCAATTCTGTAAACTAAAGTTACAGTCGCGTTATATAGCGTATCCGACATCGCCGAGATTCCCGCGCTTCTCCAGGGCTCTGGCTAAGGTTATGCCTTGCTCTAGGAGTGCATTAACCCCCGTCGACTCGAGAGCACACCGTAGAAGAAGTGTACAAGTGGCGCGAAGGGGAACCGAGAAACAGAGAGAAACCGACTCGACTCTCCGTCTCTCTCTTAAGCCGAGTTTACACGCTCGGCGCAGCTTGCTCGAACCAAAACAATCGGACATAAATGTTTCTAAATAAATTGAACCGAAAAACCTGTTTATCGGTTAACGCGCGTCGAATTAGACTCGATACAGATTCGATAAAAATTAATCTTACACGATAGCGAGCCGAGTATTTTAGATTGGAAAATGAAACGATTGTATTCCGAGTAATTAGAATTAGTCGGTGACACATTACATACCATAGCATGTCCGTTATCAGCGCGACACGCTGTTATTTATCGTAAAGTGGGTTAAAACCGGGGGAAAAAGATAAATGTATGCAAATTGCGCGATCGTGTAAATGGGGCATAGCGCTTTAGCGAAGTCAGGGGCGTCCTAGAGGAATCGAGCAGGAAAGGGGGGACAGTAGGTGGTGGTCAGACACCTGGAGAACCGCGGGGATACCGTTCACGAGGAGGTGGGACGGGCAACGGCCAGACTTTCTCCGGAGAGCGAAAGTGAGAGGGCCTCCACGGGATTGTGCGCCCCTTGGGTAAATCTAGGGGACAAGGGGGGCACAGGGTTCTTGCTTTCACCGTGGCACGAACCACGACTTGGATGCACTTTTCTGCGACGTAGAAAACGAAACGGACTTACGCGATATATCGTGGTCGGGAAGAAAAATACAGACTGTAATTATTGCCGGTCTTGAGAAAAAACATCGACTGACATTCCTGTATCGTGTTCTTTAATCTGTTAACTGCGAATGACGAGTTAATTCGTTGTGCGAGCAAAAGCACTACGACGAGTTACAGAACAACGTGTTCACCGAACAACTCTTGTATTTAGTTTCGTTCTGAAACGAACAAATCGTTCCAGAAAATAGATAACGTTATTCGTAGAATACATGGTTATCACCGATTACTATTTTAAAATATGATCAAAAATTCCCTCCATCATTATTGCAGAGAACGACCGAGATGATGGTTTCCTATCTTTTGTAAATTTGAAATCGCTTTGTCGGCATCTTAATATAATCGATCGAAACTTTCTTATTTCTTAAGATGCGCATTCCACGAGTACATTAAAGAGAGGCGGTTAACGCGCAACGAGGAAAAAAGCAGCCATTCGTGGCGGTGAATTACTCTAAAGCAGCGATAGAGCGTGGTCGAACAATTACGAATTTACTTTCTTCTGTAGAACTTCCTCGTCGACAGTCACGCTATGGATTAATAACGTCTATTCCGTTCAGGTAGGCACGAAATGAAATCATTATAACAAATTATCGATACTGTGAGATCGCTGTAGTCCAAGGGCTTCAAGAAATAGCAAAACGGTTCAACGATCCGCCGACGTTAAATTCGAGAAAGTCGCGAGAAATTCAAGCGCGTTGTTCGTCGTAAAATAATTAATTATGAATTTTTTTTTTGGAGACAATCGCGTTCGTCGCGAGAAAGTTTACGAGCCATACGGGTTCCAGGTTTCGACTTTCCGCGCGTGCCATTTCAGGAACGTAGATATACGCACCGGTCGCGAGTATCGGGACAGGTTCAACAAACGGGAATGTAACATTCGTAAACGTTTATTCGAAATCGCTGCAGGTTGCGCGCGTAAAGCAACACTGTTAGAAAATAAAAATAAGTTACACAATGAACGTAGCGGTGAATCGTGGCTCGTACGATCCGATGCGTCGAGGAAGCATCGAGTGACGTCGCATGTGTGTCCGTTCCCGGTGTGCCAAGGCGCATTCACTGACTCAATTGATTTTGACGATTATAGCGACCTGTTCTCCCCTCAGCAACATTTGCGGCACGTGTCTCTCCAAGGTCTCCTTCTTTCCCTCGATCTTCTTCACGACTACTTTGGGCGCGGCATCGTCCTCTTGTTTCACGATCACGTCCTGCGTACCACCTAGCACAAAATTTACAATGTGATATTTCTTTTCGAATTTGATCGCAGAAGGTTACCATTTAGTACGTTACGTTACAGAAAATTATGTCTAAATCAAATATATTTACATTATCTTGTTATAGAAATAAATATAATAATTATGTTTGGGGGAAGTTTTCTTAAGAAAGTAAAAAAACATAAAAATAACACAATCGCGCGAAATAAGTATGCCCAGAAAAGTTTCAGGAAGCAAAATATTTTCGTGTCGGAGTTTCGCTGGGCGAGGGTAAATCGATAGCGAGCGGTTAAAAGGCAGAAAAGAGAAAGAAATACGTATTTGGAAAACGTAGCAGAGTGTGTGTAGAGTGTAGAGGTTGACGTCACGAAGAAACCACGAAAAGAGAATGTCGACGGGTCACGAGGTAAGTCTCGAAAGGTTGTTTATGTGCTGGCACGTGTCCGGTGTGGCTCGAAGGGGAAGCAGAAAGGCGTAGGGCAGGGCGATACGGTTAGAAGGGAGCAGGCGAGCACGAGGAGTCGGTGGGACACGTGTACTCGGCAGACATCGATCCTGGGAGTTGCTCTTCAAGGTCGCTCGGCTGCCACCCTCGCTGCCTCGTATCAACGACCTCTCGACCCCCTCAGGATATCCTAAAGTACGTCAGTAGGCCAACTAACCCTGAACTCTTGCTGTACCATGATTACTCATCTCCTCGGGATAACCGATTTGTATTTCAACCAATAACAAGAACAACTTTTGCTAGCCGATTTATTGCAATATTTATCAGAGTGTGACAGTTTCTTTCTTAATAGAACAACGCTCTCGAATTTCGAAGTGTTCCTTTCCGTTAAAACTTGTTGGGGTTCGACTGCTTCTTAATCTTTTTTTATTTACATTCAATCGCGAGAATTAATCAATCATTCCCATCGTTCGCATTCACCCCTCATTGTTGCCTTTTTTACCCTTCCGACGTGAAAATTGTTGAATCATGTCATTGACTCGCGAGATTACCGAAATAGAAATGAATGGTTCGCGGAGAACAATGTAAATGTGCCTATCAATCGTGCACGCGATACCGATTCGAAGATTGTTCACCGGAATCGATTGAATGAACAATCTCGCGATAAAACAGATTCCATAAAAGTTGTAGTTGCTAACGCACGTGTCGGCTGGCTAACCACGTGAATGAATGAAAACGTGTGCCGAAGGTTGTAGGGTTGTAACATGCGGCAGAACGAAGAAGGCGGAGGTGGAAGAAACGGAAGAGGCGCGAGCGAGAGGGAAACGGGAGTAGTAGGAAGAAAAGGAGCGGAAAAGAGATAAAAGGATGAACGGAGATAGAGCAAAGGGGTCTTTGGCGTTGGCTGAACAGAAGGAGAAGAGTGTTAGAGACAGAGAGAGGAAAAAAGAGGGAAACGAACGACGCAAGGCACATGGGCCTTGTATCGAACGTAGCAACCACTATGTAGTCAAGGTCGGTCTTTGCCCCTAACGTTAAAGGGGCGTCCTCAGGATGTATCACGAGGGACACGACGACCCCTTAACTATCGAGCTTTTTTCTACGTCGATGTAAATAAAGGCGGTTAACGACACGATCGACACTGGATAGCGTGCGTTAACCCTTCCTGATATTCGATCGCGCGTGGACTAATAATAATTAAGAATACTCTACGCGTATAAAAGATGTATCGATACAAGGATCTAGAAGGATGCGGAGATCCAGCGATACGTTCCGTTTTTATTATACAGAGGATAACGATCAAAACTTACATATTTATTTGTCCTTAAATAGTTAATCTATATCGTCGAAAATAAATCGTAGAATAAAAGCGTAAACTCACCGTGTTTTGTAACGACGAACTTTACCATCGTCAAAGTTCTTGACAAAACAATTACGAGTGCAAATGAAATTTACGAGAACTATAATTTTAAATTTGTGTACGTAATATCCTATCGTAGAGTGTAAACAATCGATCGACGCCAAAAAACGGATATCGTAGATTATTCGAAATAAATCGTAAACAGATTAAACGTTACCGATGTGTTCGTCGATTGAAAAATAATCAAGCATCAATTATCGGACGAAGCTCGATTAGCAGTGAGGTAACGTTTCGAGACATCTAAAAGACGTAACAGCGTTCAGGCTCCTATCGAGCGAGGTCGTAGCTATGAAAAGTAACGTACATTCTATTCGTGCATCAATTAGAGCCGCGTAAATAGAAAGAAGCGCGCGAGCGTGTCCCATTGACACTGGACAGTAGTAGGAGTCATTCATGGCCAGACCAGTGTAGGAAGGACTAAATTGAACCTTTGCTTGGGTCTTGAACAGTACACGGCACCGGTTACTACGCCTATTGATATCATCCTATTAAAATTCTGAACATGCACGCCAGAAACGCGCGTCCATTATGTATAATTTGAGAATTTGCATACTGATTTGTATATTGTACGGCGGAAACGTTCCTTTCGAGGTCGATCAATGGATACCGAATATGTATACGCATAGATCTGACTCGAGAATTGTTTAAAAAATTATCTACTCGCCGAATTAAATGTCTTATTTGTCCATTACATTTTCGATAATTACGATTTCATCGCGAATCGTGTTCTTTTCTCCGAACTCACGAATCGTGTAACGGCACGAATTGCTGAACGAATTAGGTAAATTAATTTGAAGTTTCAAATTGCTCTGCTACGCGTTTCGTGACATGCATCGTGTTTAAAATGTATTACGTCGGATGCCATTGAAACGAAGTTGCAAATTGTTTCGAGAGAAAAGAAAAAAATGGAATGACTTTGAACGCATTAATGATCTTGCACAGCGAGAAAATTAGAAATATGTTTCTTGCTCGTTAGCTCGAAAGCACAGCGGTGTTCGCTAAGAAAGTGCAAGAAACGCATAGAAAAAGCAACGCGTTTTTCATCCGCCAGCCGTATCTCGATTTTTCATTGAACTCGCGACATTGTTTAGAATTTCTCGTCAAGTCGGACGGCCTTGAATACCTGTCAGAGATTCAATTTTTCTCTGTTCCGCCTCAGGGCCGTACGGCACCAAACGCACGCGCTTTTGCCGCGCGTCGTTCGAATCGCGAGCCACGTTACAAATGTCGGAGGTTACAGCTTTCAACCGCTTTTTATAGACCGTATTAGCATCCCAATGATTTCTGATTCATCGCAGATGTTCGTAGCTCGACTTTAATGGCGTCGTTCGGAGAAGAAAGACACGGAAACGCCGAAAACCCGATACGAAATTAACGCGCGTCCACTGCCAAGTGTTCGGAGTCGCGAACAGAGTAGACGAAACGAAGCTCGCAAAAGTCCACGAGTTCTACTGGCGAATCTTAATAGGATAGAAAAGGATGAAAAATATGTATACCTCGCGCAGGTGCTTTCCTCTTCGTTTTACGAGTCCAAACTTCAAAACAGTCCTCGAGCGCGAGGTTCCAGTGCTTGTCAAAGGCGGCCACATACGCTTCCACGTGTCCTCTTATTCCGTACGCGTTCCTCGTGTAGACCTTCGACATAAAGGACGAACCATTATTCCTTTTAAATCATTCGGAGATTCCCGCTTACGTTCGTGCGTCGATTTCTTCGAACAGAATTCGATCCGATAGATAGTTCGTAAAGGATGAAATAACTCCTTTATACCTTCAAGGATTTCTCTGTTACTCTGAAACTTGAATCATGAATCGATCGTTTCGAACAAAGCGCCGATCGATTTTCATTTTTCTGACGATAACAAATTCCATGAGTTTCGATAACAAAATTTTTCGAAGATGATCTGTTGAGGCTGTCCTGCCTCAACACACGATTCCCACGGTTTAAAAATTTACAAATATACGAACATTTTACCAATTCGGATTACTTGGCGCAACCGTGATACTTGTACCGCGCTTACGCGTCGAGTTAAATACAATTTTTTTGTTATCGTTTCGAAACATATGGAAGAAAGTGTCGAATGATTCGGTGCAGTTTTTCCGTTTTCCAGGCAATTACATTAATGACAGTTCGCGCGAGAGTGTCTACGAGAAAACGAGCGCGAGCCCGTTGTTTGTCGCACAGATATGCCGCGAGACAAGATAACAGGCTGATACGCGGAAGTGCAGGCCGTGGCAAGGCCCCCTTCAATGCCTTTCGCACTGATATATACCCAGCTTTGTCGCAATGAAAACTAATTGCGTGACTCTGACTCTGACTCGCGTATCTCTATCTCGCTCGCTCTATAAACCTATTCATTCTGATCTACAGCCTCTATGAAGTTATCGACAAAAACCTACTAAATTGTTTTTTTGGTAACTTTTTATGCAATCTATTATGACACGGAATGGGATCAATATTCTAACAAGTTATCCGATGCAATTTTTGTCAAATTTTATTTACTCTTGCCCGAAAAATTTATGTAAACATATTTATTTTTACACATCTTTTCATTCAGGTTGTTTCTGCAATATAATTGTACCGCTAAAATTTTATAAAATTTTTTCAAGTTCCATTTTGCCGAAATGAACTTCACATCAATGGTCGATCTACGACAATGCACAATGCGAAGAAATCATTCAGTTTGAATGTCTGAAAGATGGAAGAAAGTTATTCGAAATAATAGAGTGGCTTCCGTATATTCCGTCATCAATATTACGCACGTGTCCCATAGACGCGTGACACGCACACCGTCGAGAATCGATTCTAGGAGTCCTCAAGATTCCTCCGAGGTATATCCTTGCTGGTCCAGTGGGACAGGATTAACGCGAAGGACGACCGCGTCGTTCGTAGATTCGCTTAATCGCCGGTCCAAGGATCGATCGTCACAGCCAACGAAAACGTGGAAACAACCGGGTCTGTGATCGCGAATCGAGAATCGCTCAGGCTGAACCTCAAGGCTCGGTTCGCGATTTCAATTAGACCGGAAAATTCAGAACTGCAACGGGCAAGATCGATATAAGATTAAAGTTTCTTTTGTGTTTAGTTTCGTTTTGATTCTCATTCCGTTGCGATACTTTCGTAACATGCTGAATTTCAATTATACCCGTATCAAGTTTCCAAATATTGCAAAGAAAATTTGGCAAATAACCGAGCGAGGTAATCGTAGATTCTGAAAGATTATCCTAGAACTTTCCTAACTTTTGCGAGTCATATAAAAATGACGATTTTATGGAACACGTTCGCGCGTAACGCGAGTCGAAAAATTTCTATCAAATCACTGACTAAGACATACCGAGGTGTTATAATGCAAAGAACTCGTATAAAGGAATGGAAATGGCGGAAGAATGATCAATGATTGTCCTCGCGCAAATCATATTCGTCAATCATCAATTTTTTTCTTCCCTTCCTGCATATTTGCGTTACGCAACGACGCATTAATCCGTTGATATTACGTTCGCAATCGCAAGATGATGAGGCCAGGTCCCGAGAAAAAGGCAACAGCACTTTCTTCCTCGATGATTTGAGACGTAATCGAAGGTCGAGCAATCGATCGACGAGGATAAAACTCCTCTTTCAGGATGCAGGCAAATATCCGAAGGTTAGAGATTAGGATCTGTAACCAAGGATAAACGGTTCTTCGTTGGAAGAACGACGGACGTCGCGAATGAAAGGCAATGAAAGTAATTAAATCGAGAAACACGTTACGATCTCTCGTTAGCGAGACTCCGCTTCCGAAAGAAGTTTAATTAGGAACTCGATTCCGCTCGTTGAGAATATATCAAATACAGAGTGGCGCTTCCGCAGGAAGATCAATTGTATCAATTCAATGATTGTTAACTTTTCTTCTTCTTTTTTTTTTCAATGATCAGACGTTCTGACCGTCGATTCTAACGTCACGTGTTGCGAACTTAATCAGCGAGTTAATCCCTTCGTCGAGGACGCGCATAACGTCCGGTGTACGTATTTAAACTTTACTGCTTCTCTATTTCGGTAAACACATTTTACGAGTGTCCTTTCGGAAACGCGTATCGTTCCAAACAAAATCAAAGTCCAATCGTATACGATCCCTTTTTCCTCCACCACCACCTTCCGAGCATTATTACTGGAAGAATGTTGTTCAAACTCGTCAAGATTTTCTAATTCTACGCGGTTGCTTTTCCTCGACAGTATCGACGCACGCGCATTGACATATACGTCCATTGAAAAGCTTGATTTTGGTGCAGGAAATGGACGGGCTACATTTGTTACTGTCACTCAGAAAATCCTGTTTCCTTGCGATCACCAAACGCGCGGCTAATTATGGAAGTAGGAAGTACTCTCGAGAAGTCAGGAAGTGAATTTTTCCTGCTTTCCTCGCTGGCATAACGTTCCGATTCGTCGGTACGAGAGCGTGCTACTACGCCGCACCGCGCCGCTCCGCGACTCGCGCAACGCATCGCTGCGATTTCTCTTCGTTCTAACGATGGAAGAAAATGAAAATAAAACACAAAGACCTTGCTCGTTGATTTATTTTCCGACCGCGAGAAAAATGGTTCGCTCGGGGACTGATACGATCCAGAAACGTCTTCACGTGATTTCATCGGATCGCCGTGTGTCTGACTCACACGCGATATTCAGTTTCCCCGTCGAAGAATGTTGCGTTCGCGAGCTGACCAGATTAAAAACTTCGACATCGTCATGTTCTCGCTTTCTCGTTGCGCAATAGAACCGATAAAAAACGTTCAAATCTTCGTCAACCACTGTCGCATTATCGTTTGACAATCATCAACGGAGATCATTCTCGAGAAAGTGGTAACGTTACTTTCGCGAATGGCAGGAACGATCCTCCTTTCCTCGTGTCTTAAATGTGCATGCTTCCGAGATGCCTGTAGACGCTGCTCTTTTCTTTACGAGATGCGATCGCGTTGGCGCAATGACGCGGTGCAAATTACTCACGAAGGCAAAAAGTTCGCATCGATAAATAACGACGAAACGAAAGAAGCACCGATCGCGGTATTCCGTGAATTTATAGAGAGCGATCGGTATGCGTTTCTTCTCGATACTCGTGAAAGGTGAAAAGGAGCGGTCTGTCAGGAAATGGCCCTTTCGTAAATGGACGTTTCGTAGGTAGGACCTTGTCTTTTTGGACAGTACCGTCCCTTGTTCGAATAAGGGAACGATCAAGAGCGTAAACGAGACGCGAAGAAGGGCCCGCGCGTCTCCATGGTGACGAGTGTTGACCCGAACAGTTTTCTTTCCTCCCTCTGTTGTACCTTTCGGGGCTTTTTCGGTCCTCTACCTTCGCGCACGTGTCTCCCGGCCGCGAAAGTGTGTCAGCCGCGTGTGCGTGCGCTTCGACGCACCAGGGGTCAGCCAGAAATGGGAGGCGTAGGTGTTTACGGTGCCTCCTTCGCAAGACTACCCTCGAATTTCCATGCCGCCCGAGTCGATGGATCGAAATACGAGAATGCTATTTTCACGGTTTACGAGTTTTCCTCGTATCTTCTAGCTGCAACGGTGCTGTTTTCGAATTTCAAATGTTCACTTTTCTTCGCACTCGTTGCCGATGCGATTCGGCGTGAAAATTTCCAACGAACGGTTTCATTTGAATATTTCGTCAGAACGACCTACCTTAATTCGTGTACGACTCTCCATGTATCCGTAAAGCATTCCGAGCGGCCCGAAAGTCTTTTGCATTTTCGACAGAACGTTCTTCCCTTCTATCGATTCTCCTTGTCCTCTTCCAGTCTTCTTGCCAGCCACGGGTTCTGCACACACCATAAAAACATCCGAGAACTAGGATACCATTCGTAGACGAATTTAGGCGTCCTATGATATTTGTCCGTTACAACTTATGACGCACCTTGTGCGTTCTATCATATCTATCTAGGACAATCAACGACGCACATCGTACGTTTTATACTATCTATCTAGAGCAATCAACGACGTAACTTGTATAGTCAAAAGCAAACCTTCCCTACATAAAATATGCCTATCAAATAAGAAGGGATTGATTTTTAGGAGTATTCAAAAATTTGTCGATGGAATAACAACTTGACGACTTAGTTAAGGGTTTCAAGAAACTTCGAAACCTATCAAAGTACGATCTATACCACCTATTTATTTTCGTTAATGACAGTGTATGAAACTTGTTTTATCTATCCATTTCGGACGACGAAGCGCCGATTGTGTCCTATACTATTTATCTGGCACTATCGACATACTAGTTCCGTGCTATCTTTTTCGAACGATATTTCATCCAATACTATCTATCCCAGAAATGTCCGAAATGTCGACTGAACGATGGGGATAGAAAGTTTAGGACTTAGGAGTTTTTAGTACTCCGAGATCGTAGGAAAAGCGTGCTCGGACTAAAATGGGTATTGACGTAACTAAGAAAACTCGTAGTTCGTGTAAGGGCCGTCTCGCAGTAAGATTCAGTCACGAATGGGTTAGAACGGATTGCGTGCGCAGAAACAACGGGAAAGCTCGAAGAATCGATCAGGAGAAATAAAGGGTAGCCGCGGGGGGGTTAAATTTACCGGCTAGTCGAGATTGTTATCAGCCTAACGAGTGGACGCGTTCGGTATTATCCTGGCAGATTTTTACAGGCGGCCATAACGGCGTGCTAATAAGAATTTATGTAGCTCTCGCGCCTCGTCGGTTCGCTCGACAAATCATCGTTCATCCTTGGTAGGAGCCGCGTACAGAAAACGAGCCGATAGCATCGTGCTTCCATTGCTTTTTGCTCATTTTGCTCGTTTCTGCCAGCAGCACGAGCCATTACGCGTGCGATTCGACTTGCTAGAACGAAATTGATGACGATCGTTGCAATTTGGTAGAGGTTTCTATTCCTTTCCGTTACTGTTCCTTTGTATTTAACCCTTTTATCGCTAAGAATAACTGTGACCATTCGGCACGTGTTACCTCCACGTTTCGTGATTATTCCAGTTCTTCTAACGAAGGGGAATAATTTTCCGTAAACGCGTTTATTTATAGAAGAAGGACGTGACGTTGGAAAAACGGGAAATATTTTGCAAGAAACGGACATAGAATATTCGCTGATTCGCGGGAAGGAATTCGTTCGGGAGAGAAAAAGAATCGTTAGCGAGCGACGATCGCGGCAATCGACAGGGATCGAAATAGCATAGATGCGTCCCTGGCGTCGCGGCGCGGAAAGAGGAACGCCGCGGCAGAGTTACGTAAAGGCTGCATACTGGTTGCATGCGGTGCACACACGAGTGCACTTATTTCGCCGATGTGTGCGGCAGCTTACACGCGCGGCTTCGCACGTATTTACGCGTAGCTCCTCTCGCGTCTGGCCGCTCGGTTAAGGTGTCGGTCGAAAGAGGCGGCTGTCCTGAGCGGCGTACTCGCTAGCGAGCGAGCGATCATCGCCGCTGCCAATCGGGCTTTCTCCGATAACTTTCATCCACCTTAAGCCGGTACGCTCGGCTACGCTCCCTTGGCAGCCGCGAGGCCAACGGCGCCGCGCCACTCGCCTCTTTTCCACCTTTCTTTATTCCTTTCCGCGTGTACACCACGCGCCACTTTCACTATCGTCGCGCGATCCAATTCCAGCTCGCCGAGCCGATC